GCTCCCCTTCCCCCTCCCCCCCCATTTCATACCACAGGGAAAATCTGAGCCTATTACAGCTGTACCAGAGTCTCCTTTTCAGCTTGTATTAATTTTGTTAATGTTATGCTGTATGTTAGCATGTACGCTCCTCCCTTCTAGTTAAGATAATGCCTTTAAGGGGCTCTTCTAGTAGGTTTACTAATGCATTTTTATTTTTTTCTGAAAGCATGCCAACTTCTTGCTAGCATGCTTCCTCCTTCCATAACCACAGTTTCACTGATTGGAGGTGCAATTCCTTTTTCCTGTTTAGTGTCTTAAAAAGATGCGCAAAGTAAATTCTGCGCCAAGAGGAAAAGTTCAGTAGTGATGGCTGAAGTGAGAGATGGGGAAAATTTTCTCAAGGTCAGTCTAAAGCCAGCCTCAGAGAACTTTCCACTTTTGAAAAACGTGCTTAGGCTAAGTTGTGATAGTTACGAGAAATTTTCTTGTGATATGTATGTAGATATGATTTTAATGTTGCTTCTTAAAAAACACGGTCATATATATATCCAAAAAATTACATCTAAAGCAGAGTTTTCTTTCTCATCTTGACTATTTTCTGCAGGTTTTTCATGTATTCACTGATTATTTAAAGCATGCAGAGGATTGAGTCCTCCTAATTGCTTAACCAGTAGTCTCAAAATCTACCAACTCGCTTAAGTCAGTGAAGGATTGTCTGCTTCTTGAAATAAGATGCTAACACCTGATTTAGCTGTGAGACCTTCCATTCTTATGTTGTATCACTCTTGTTTACTCTGCTAGAGTAATTTAAGTGTGTTGTAGTATATTCCCCCTAAATAACATTCAACTATTTGAATCAATAATTTTGTTTATTTTTTAAATATGATTCCCTTACTCCCTTACTTCATGACTATTTTCATCTTCTTCTTGTGCAGATTTGGGCATAGGGGGAATGCTCAAACCATAAAAAATATTGCCTCCTATATTTCAGTGCAATAGAAAAGTGTTGTAGAAAAGCAGACAATTTTCTCATCTAGAATTAGACTCAAGACTCTATCAGGGTCCACTTCAAACTGTCTGACAGCCACAGTTCTTGCTCTATTACTTTAGCTGGACTTTTGATTAAGCCAGCAAACACATATCTTCAGCGACGTCTAAGCATTTAATATTTTTTGGATGTTTAATTCCAAAAATTCAAAAGGAGTTTGGATGATTGAGTTCAGACTCTCAAAGGATTTTCTGAATTTATGAACTCCTAAATTATGTGTGATTTAATCCATATTGCCTACAGCTTAAAAGGCCAATATCTTACTGAAGTGAAGGCCAATGCTTCAAGCTTTCCATTATTATTGTGACATAAAAGAGATTTAGGGTGGCATCAGTAAAATGTGTTTGTACTTAGCATTACAGAGGTTAACCAGTGAACTTGAGTTAGGTACCCATCGCTGCTTGGCTGTACCTGGAAGAATTGATTGCCTAAATAAATAAAATAAAGTATTAATTGGAGCTGTATTTATTAGTCTTCCTCCTTCTTGTTCAAAGTCTGACAGAGAAGGGGTCAGAGTCTTTCAAGTGCCTGTTCTGACAGAGAGAACAGTGCAAGCAGCACCTGCCCGTGGTTTCTGAACTGGGAGGGAATTGGGCAAGGCCAACTGGTCATGGGCCTGCCAGGGCACTGAGCTATGGGGAAGCACTGGGCACACAGGAGGTAAGGCTATCAAAGCCAGCACTATTATGTGCATGTGCCAAGGAAATGAACCAAAGCTTTCCACAGAATTTTATAAATGGAATGGCACACTGTTTTATATAAGCATGTATGTGCATATCAATTTCATCTGCTTACATTGGAGGTCGTATAAATTCTGATGCTTGGATGACTCTGAATTTCTTAATACCTGTACATAACAAGACATCCTTGTTGTTAGATCAGTGCAGTGAGGAGTATTATTTTACTTACATGTGCATGTAATACAGAGTCTAAAAAATTAAAATTGCTCACTTTATGTTTATAATATCACACACAATGTGTATACAGAGAACACTATTCATGTTCCAGCTTCAGAATTTTGAATTTTGAAGCTATCTAAAAAATTACTTCTATTTTACAGGGGATCTTTTCTGTGCAAGGGTGCACAGGGTGCTAGGATGAGGGTGCAAGCGTGAGGGTGAGGGGTAAAGACTACTGGGAAAATAAAATGTACATTGTCACATAATTAAACTATGTCATACACGCACATAAAAAAGTTTGCAAGGAACAAGAGATTTTAGAGATAAAGGCTTTCAGAGATTTGATTTTTTAACACTAATGAAATCCTCTTAGATATTTCTTATTAAAGTTTTCTGGTTTTCTTTAAAGGGTAAAGATCAAGGAATTTCTTCCATTTGTGAAAGCAAACTTTTCCTATCCAAATGATTGGGGAATTTTTGAACATCCACAAAAGTAGTGATTCAGAAGAGCTAGCAGTAATTTCACATCTGCTTACCACAGCTATTACATTTAATTTAAATATTCCTGTATTGAGCCTAGTAACTTGTCTTTGACTGAAACACAGCTACTTGAAAAACTGCAGACATTGATTTGAAGACATAAAAGAAGGAAAAATTACTCCTTTTTTTTTTGTGAAATTTATTTCCCATAATAATCACTTCAGTTTTTGAGATATATCTGTCGTTCTTTATAAGCCGAGTTTCTCTGGCTGTGACTCATGTATTTGTTCTGGTTATACTTTTCTTTCCAGTCTGAAAGAGCTCTTCAGACCTTGATATTTTCTCCTTGTGAAGAACTCCAGACTCTCCAATCAGGCCAGCTCTCAGTGTTCTTTTTGATCAGCTAGCTGTTTTGCGCTCTCTATGTTAAACACAGTAACAATTTTCTCCACTTAATTGACTTATTTTTGTGGTACAATAAGGTGTGTTTTCTGTATTTTCATAATCTTTTTTTTTTTTTACTTTGAACCAGGCAATAATTCCAAATTTCAGTATTCAGTGATATCTTCAGAACTAAAATCACCATCAGGAGTGCTTTTTCTTTTTTCCCAAGGGAGAAAATTCTTAGTCTGTTAATGTGTCTTGTATTGGTTTTTCCTCACCTTGTCTTCTCATATTTCTGTTTTCACAGTGTCTTATGGGCTGTAATATGGCCTACAAGACAAATAACCTCCTCTACTTGAGGACATGTTTAAGGAGGCTGGTTGTAGAGAAGCCCAGCTCTGACTGGTGGGTTCTTTCCCATCTTTATTCTGCCTTTGATCTTGGAGAATCTCAAATGAGCGCACAGGGAGACCAGAGTAAGGGGTAGAGCACTCACAGCTGTAGAGCACTATCCCAAGAAGCAAGTACCAAGAATCTTTGCAGTCATGTCAGCAATTGCTGCAGGCTGTTGGCATCTCAGTTGGGAGGTTTTTTACCTTCTATTCCCATTCAGTTCTTGTTTCTGTGCTTTGAACCAGCAATTCTGCTTTATTTTCTCAATTAATTCTAGTAAGAGTAGCATAGAAGAATGAACGCTATTTTTCACGCTTCATGTTGGTCATTAAATTACATACTGGCCCATATTTTAATTAATATTTGACTTACTGACTAGGCATATTTTGACAGCACTTTGAAGCTCTGCTAGATATAGTTTTTTCAAATTAATTTTGATTGTACATGTCACAGTTTTAAAGACAAACAGACACATTAAACAACATGTTTATAAGCTGAACAGATTAGATCTAATATTTCCTTTGTAAGCTCATTAATAATGAATAACAAGATCTAGCTGGATGTGTTTCTGTGTGTGTTGAATGTATGCGTTTTAGTTTGGGCACACATTCAAAATAATGAAATAATTTTGAGAAGGAAAATCTGTCATTGAATCTTGTAATAAATTGATGGCAATGAGCAAAAGTAACTTTCACTACACAGTGAAAGGGGAAAAGCATTTCAGAGAGGAGAGTTAAGTATATTCCTATGTTAATAATGGAAATGAGAGAGGCTCTCCTTCATGGTTTAGGTTAGGCATAAGGAAGAACTTTTCTCTCAGAGAGTGGTCAAACACTGGAATGGCCTTCCCAGGGAGATGGTGGAGTCACCATCCCTGGCAGTGTTCAAGAGACGTCTGGATGAGATATGGCTTAGTGCTTGTGGTAGCAATGGTAATGGGAGGATGGTTGGAGTAGATGATCTTGCAAGTTGTTTCCAACCTTGTAATTCTATGATTCTCTGATTGATGCTTTGTGTCCATAGTAGAGCTGGCAGCAGTCCTCTTCACCCTGGTACAGAACCTGTGCCCACAGAGTTAAAGTTAGCATTATACAGAAGAAAGCATGGTCCTGTTTAAGATCATATTTCTCTGTGTAGGTTAAGGTTCTCGCTACATGGAAAAAACAAATGCTTCATTTTGGTGAAATTAAAGGATGCAGAGAAGGCATTGCTATGATACTTTTTTCCATTGAGATATCCTGCTTAAATAGTTATCATCTTTTATAATAGAAGTTGTGGAAGAGTAGGCAGGGAAAATCTGGAGATGAAGGAGGAGAAATTGGAAATGTGGGAGAAAAGAAGATAAATTGCTAGAACTTGTACAAGATGGCAATCTGGCCCAGCAAAAGTAACTATTAACAGAGATTCCTACATCCATGAAATGTCTATTGCTACAACAAAACAAACAATACATTTGTAAATACTGACAGTTAGCAATAAGAAAAGGAAACACAAAACAATTTTGTCACTTGCAAATGTAACAATGATATTTGCTTGTAGATGTAGTTGAGAAGGTAGCATGGAAATCATTGTTTGGATTATTAGATTAAATTTATTCATTATCTGGTTTTACGCGTACTGGATAGCTGTAACTGATCATGCAGGTTGAGGGACTGAATGAAAGGTGTTTACTGTTAATTCAAGGGTCCTGAATATATGCACTTCTGTCACAAATTAGGAATGATAGCAAAAAAATAACGACTGCAGATTGTCTGAAAAACTGTTACGTATTTGAATGTACTCAGTCATATAAACCTTACTTTTTTGTCTTTCAGATATACAAAGATGAAGACAGCAACCAACATCTACATTTTCAATCTGGCTATGGCAGATGCACTAGTTACCACGACTATGCCTTTCCAAAGCACAGAGTACCTGATGAACTCTTGGCCATTTGGGGATGTGCTGTGTAAAATAGTTATTTCGATCGACTATTATAACATGTTTACCAGCATATTCACACTGACCATGATGAGCGTTGATCGATACATTGCTGTATGTCACCCTGTGAAAGCTCTGGACTTCCGTACTCCTCTCAAGGCAAAGATAATCAACATCTGTATCTGGCTGTTGTCCTCATCTGTTGGCATATCTGCCATAGTTCTCGGAGGTACCAAAGTCAGGGAAGGTGAGTGTGAGCATGCAAAGCGGAGACTTCATTTTATTTGAATGTAAAACATTGCTTGGAATATTGACTAAACCTGATTGATTTTGACTTTGGTAATTTGTGCAAACTTTACACATAGAAGATCATTCACATTCCTTGTTTCAAAAAGTGTGCCTAAATTTCTGACATTTTGAAATATGGCGTATAAAGAATTTAAGCTCAGATATCCTTGCCGACTTAAAGAATCAAGTGCACTTTGAAGCACTATTTGTGCTAGACTGAGACCATAAGAAAATAACAACAGACAGCAGGGGGAAGTAGTCAGGTATTTGAACATGGCTGAAAATTCAAAGACCAGATGAAACTTGAAATGTAGGCTGAGAGTTTTTTCTGTAGGCATTGTGAGAGTAGTTCTGATGAGGTTTCAAGAGCAGAAACTAGTTTGCTTCTCATTAGCATTACTATTAAAGCTTGGGAGCTTTTTGTCAGCAACCATTTCACAGAACTTAAAGATATGGTGAAAAAAGGAAGAAAGACAGTAGCTGGAGAGAAAAAAGGTAAGCTAAATGCTAAGAAAATGACAGTGTCAGAAATTCTTATTTAAAAAGGAGTAGGACATGTATGTAGACTTGGAAAGGCTGAGAAGCATCAGCAGAGGAACCAGGAACACAGAGCATGGCAGGGAAGCAACTACAGAACATAAAGTCAATGAATGTGACCATGGAGTGCTGTAGGCTCTGTTGAAATTTGTAATCTGTGAAGGACTGCAGATTTAGCCCCTATATCCAGTGACTCTTTACTATGTTCTGCTAGGGAGTTAATCTTATTTTGAAATCCTTGAAAAGGAAAGGGGAGATATGTACTTCCTACCAGCAGGTATAGCAGCAATATGGGTGCAGTACTGTGTCTTCAAAACCTCTAATGTATGTTCTGGTATTGAGGACATTCTGTTATGGATGGCTCTGCGAAATACAAGGCATACATATTTATTTGGTAGTAGTGATGTCTGGGATGTTACTTTTCTTTTGACAAATGATTAACAAATTGCTGATTTAGCTGCCTATTCCAGTAGAAAGTTTTCACTCCTCCCAGGAGAACTGGTAAACTTTACATAAGGGCACAGTTTTATCCGGGAGAGAAAATAAATGCAGTGTGTTTAACTCCTTGGCATAGATCAGTGCAAACAAAACAATGGTGTTCATTAATAAAACAGCTGTTCAAGTGCTGTTTTGTTTGATTGAGGATATTCAAATTCTTTTTTTCTGTTGGTCTTACAGTGGGTATGTGAAAGGAGAGCGTCTCTGGAAACATCTTTCAGACATTTGGGAGTTCAAGTTTCCCAGTTTGCAGTGCTGTAACTCTTCTTCCCTATCAAGTTCTTACAGGCTCTATAAAGCCATGTGCAGCTCAGGAAAAAAACACTTCAGAACATCTGTGAGAAGAATTTTTGTCTGTCTACTTAAGAAATTCTGAAGGTTATAAAAGATTGGCCAAGTGTTTTGTTTGAAGCATGCTTAACTACCAGAATGTTCTTTTCATTTTGTAATCATCACATTTGGATCAAGGGGCTGCTCTGAGGCCAGAAACGATTAAATGCCTTTTTCACACCTCATGGCAGGTAGATATTTTTTCCTGCAGAAACACCTATTAGAAATACAGCTGGGCCAAATGAGGTTGGAAATCACTGGTAAATGTTTGTCAGTCCCTACTGTTCAGCCCTGCTTGTCTGATCTACAGTGCCTCTTGAGCGTTTATTACCAGTTATTTTTTCTGGTGTGTTCATGAATTGTGCTGTGGCAAAAGGGAGAATACTAAGATACTCCTTACAGCAGGAGCTCAGGACAGAAACTTTATTTTACATTGGTGACAACAGTTGCTGTTTATATGCTACAGGGCCTCTGTTGGGTTTGGATTTAAACAACATCAAACAGAAACTGACTATATTTAAAGCTACAAACCCATGCTCAATTAGTCCTTTTTATTCTCACAATGCAGGATTTCTCCCTGCAGTGTCCTTCCAGATGCATTTTCCTTATATCTGTATAAATTTTCCCTCTCTGGACTTAATGGAGCCTTTATTGCTGAAGAAGCATTTGCTTTAGAAAAGAAAAGGCTCCAGTTTAATAACTCAGTTGAGTAGAGAGAAGTATGAATGCCTGAAGGCAGTAGGTTACTAAGACATTTAACAGAAATAGATATCCTGTACAAGGATTGAGATGAATCTTAAGCGGTAGCTTATCAAATATTTTAATATACCTTTATACAAAAGTACCATCTGAAGTGAAGGAAGTACTTTTCTTTAAGTACATTGAAATATTGGAATATCTGGCTTCAGAGTGGGACAAGACACTGAAATTTTAAATGCTCATTTTGTGACACTGTACTCTACTTAGTTCTGAACTTCTTCAGGCAGAAAGTAGCCCAAAAGAACCCTGCATTTTATTCTTTCCTCAAACACCTGAATATGATTGTGATATTGTGTATCTCTGACAGGGATATTTGTTGGCCATCAATGTAAACCATGAAAAAGTAAATGGATTCCATAGGGCATCCATGTCATTGGGAGAGACAACACTATGAATTTAGGATAAGACTTAAGTAAATTGTTATGAATCTTGAACAGCCATTACGTTTATATTCAATAATTTATTGGCTCCTGAAATACCATTGTCATTTACAAAATTATATAAAGTGTAGCAAGCATAACTGTATTTAGGGGTCATGGACCTGCAGATTTTTTTTCTGTCTTCTTCTGAAGGAGATAAAGCATTTCTTTTGAGAATTTGGATTTTGTGTTGAGGGATATGGTTTAGTGAGAACTATTGGTGATAGGTGGATGGTTGGACTGGATGATCTTGTAGGTCTTTTCCAACGTTGGTGTTTCTGTGATTCTGTGAGTATTCTTATTAAAAAAGCTTCCAAAATTAAAATTGAATCAAGTATACTAATGCTTTTTTTTTTTTTTTAACCTTCTCAGAGTATACTTATGCCTATATTTTATTTTTATTTTTGTGTATATTCAATTTAATATTGTATTAGTATTTTTAGTACTATTATTATATTTAGTATTATTATATTTGTACTTATTTAGTATATTAGTATATCAATACTTATTTTAATACTAAAATATTTGCTTATATTTATAATACAATTAATTACACATTTTTTATCTCAGTAATTAAGTGCAGTTTAAATATCTTTCACTGTAAAATTAAAAGATTTTTTTGAATGAAAAGCAATGTCAAAATTATCTGTTCAAATTCACAGAATGTGAAACATTGTAAACCTTTTTTTTTTCCAGATGGTTTTGATTAGGATAGAATAATGTTGGCACAGTAAAATTTCTAAGTCATTTCTGATTTTTCCTTTTCTATTACTGGAAGGGCTGCCTGGATTCTGAGCCCTTTGCTGGGGGATGGTGGCTGGGCTATACTTGCTCTTCCACCTGCATCTGAAAGTTCCAGGCTTTCCTTTCAGCGTGACTCCAGATGTTCAGCAACACCTACCCTCTCAGAAGTGGCAGCAAAATGCATGGATTCCTCTGGCTTTCTCAGGAAGATTTGATTGGAATAAACATCTTAATCAGCAGGAGCTTTTTCTAACCTAATAATTTGGATAAATCCCTGAAATTAGCTGTGAAGAGGGACAGTTTCAGTGAATGAATGGATGTGGCGTAGAGCAGTCATCCCTGATCAATCACAGCTCACATTTATCTCAGCTGCACATCTAGCTGCAACTTACTGGTCTAACTGTTGTACCCTCATCCTGTTTTGATTGCTGCACCTAGGCTGTGGTCTACTACAAATAACAGTAGTAATCAATGTGGAAGTTTCCTTGAAGATCATTATTAAAGTTTCTAGAATAAAATATCAGAAGAGCAGCTTACTTTGTCAACATATAATCACAGAGGATTAAGAGAAGTTGATTGAAAGCTTCAGGCCTATGACATTATAATTGTGTTATCAGTTTATCATTCTGCATCAGTCTTGAAAGATTCTTTTCACTTTTCAGCTTTCAGAATCATCCATTAGTTATTATATTCTCTGAAACAAAATTTCAAAATATTTAGCTTCATTTTCAACTTTCTATTTGTTATTTTAGAATTTAACTCATCCAGTGACACCTTTCTGATATCTATCCACGGACATGTCTGTATGATACCATAAGGATAACTTCACACGCAGGCACACGCAAACAGCCCTTCTTCACAACAATATCAGCAACATCAATTTGGTTTGTGAAGCATTTTGATAGCAAGGAAATACAGTTTGATGGATTTTTTTTCTGACTAGTCTTACGGAGACATATAAAAAAGTGATATGCAACAGTGTATTGAAGTTTTCCACCCTTTGGTCTGATTCAACATAGCCAGTAGATACCAATTTGCAGAGGAATGATGAATTCCCTAGGGGAAAAAACAAAACAAAAGCAAACCAAAGAATAATGCAGATTTGGCAGGAGAAAATATAAGATACAACTCAGAGTGAAATACCTTGTGTTACCTTGGCTTGTCTTCAGTGAATTTTAACTGCTGATAGTAGTTATAAATTTACCCCTTGTTTTGCTTTGCTATTTATCTTATCTCTTGTTTTGCTATGTGGTTTATATGCTGGAAGGTGGCCATGAGGTCAGAAAATGAAACCTCAAATATTTCACACCTTAGCAGCCTCCTGTCAGATGGAATATTTCTGGGACATAAAATAATGTGACAGCTCATGACTTTGAATCCTGGCATAGGCAAGGAGAAAGGAAGTGGGATGGCACTGGTGGTTCAGATCCCACAGTTGCTGCACAGTCTGAATTTTCAGTGATGTGATCTGCAAAAAGAGCAGCTTCCATTTGACTCTGCACACAAACTTATTTTGTTTGCTTCTATGTGACTGAAAAGAATCTGTTGCCAGGAATTAATTTTTCTGAATGCAAGAATTTCCGTGTATTCAGTTTACTCTGAAGAAAACACATGGGAAAAGATTACTACACAATTATCGCACATTGGCAAAATCTTCCTACAATCAAAAGCTCATTGCACTGCCACCATTCATAATATGAAAAATCTGCCTCCTTACGCAGACAAAATCTTGTATAGTTTGATAGTAATTATGAGTTTTCCACTCCATTAAACCTGGTATACTCTTCTTGGCTTTAAATCTCAGTGAGATTCAAATGGAAAAAAATTGTTCATCCTATTTTATAAATTTTAATTTTTCTGCCTGTGTTCTTAGCTCCTCCTGTGGGAAATTACATTTATACAATGTTATGCAGTTTAAAAAACCCATCTCTATGTAAGTAATTTCCAGAGAAAGCTGTGTAAAACCAATTTCAGTGGTAATGTAAAGCTTTTCATTGAGTGATTTAATGATAACTTCCTTTATTAGTATCACAATGCAAGATAATCGCTTTCTCTAGCTTACACCATGATAATTATATTATTTAGAATATCTAATAATAAAGCAATTTTCTTGCTTCTTTCTTTCCTAGATACTGCTAGCACTGAATGCTCCTTGCAGTTCCCAGACAGAGACTATGTGTGGTGGGACATCTTCATGAAAATCTGTGTCTTTGTCTTTGCATTTGTTATTCCAGTGCTCATTATAATTGTTTGCTATACTCTGATGATCCTGCGCCTTAAAAGCGTACGACTTCTCTCAGGGTCTCGAGAAAAAGATCGAAACCTGCGCCGCATCACCAGGTTGGTTCTTGTGGTTGTGGCAGTTTTTATTATCTGTTGGACTCCTATTCACATTTTTGTGCTGGTTGAAGCATTGGGGGATGTGTCCCACAGTACTGCTGCTGTATCCAGCTATTATTTCTGTATTGCTTTGGGGTACACCAACAGCAGCCTCAATCCTATCCTTTATGCCTTTTTGGATGAAAACTTCAAGAGATGTTTCAAAGACTTCTGCTTCCCCTTTAAGATGAGGATGGACAGGCAGAGTACCAGCAGAGTTCGAAACACCGTGCAAGACCCAGCTTATAGGAGGGAAGCAGATGGGACAAACAAACCTGTATGACTAGTCGTGGAAATGTCGTCTTACTGTCCGCAAGAGAGAGAAGAGTCCAATGATCTTGGACTGACACAGATTACCACTGCAGTTTGAACTAGACTCACACAGACATTTCTGGAACATTTAAGAAGTCCTAGTGGGTTGAACCAAGTCGATTATTGACACACAAAGACATTCTGAAAATAAGTTCAAGTGTAGAGGACCTGATTAGTGGTCAGATTTTGGCACCATAATTACGGTAGTTGACCAGGTGCTACTGCACATTTCTTGGGAAAGAGGAGAAGCTTATTATAGTGTTAAGTAAAGAAAGTTGTGGGTTTTCTCTTTACACTGTAAGATTATCTTAACTGACATTAAATTATAACAGTAAGTTATGCCAAAAGCATAGATTTACTCAAATATTGATTGCTTCTGAAGTATACAGGTTGACAACATGATTTGTCATATTCTTTTAAAGTGAAAAGTGTTATTTATGTTTCAGCAGAACACTACCACATTCCCCTCAACTAATGTATTTGTAACATTTGTCTGTTCTGTGAAAATGCAGCTTTAGCATGAACTGCCTACATATCAAAATGACTTTATTATGTCTGTGTATGGTAAAGCATTGCAGTGTTTAAAAATACTGGGACTTAAGGAAAATTGTTAGTATATCTTTTGCACGTGATTAATCACCTGTATGTAATGTTTTCTGTGCGGTTTTCCAAGATGTTTGTATACATCTGGATAATATAATATTCATTTTCAGAGTGTATTTTCATCAAGAGACTAGAAAGCTTCACATTCATAACTTGTTAAAAGTCTGATGGAAAACTGTGCCACATTCTTTGTATGGGAATAAATAGTTCAATTTCATTTTCAATAAATGGAACATACATAAAAATAGAGCTGTTCTCATTTTCCTGAAGAAATTAGCAGATTCAAAATAAATATTCAAACAGCTGTTGATAGAAACTAGTGAATTAGTAAATAGATTAACTGGACTGATACAAAGGAGATGAAGACTAAATATATTGTCTGGTTTCTTATAGAGTAATAGAATCATTTGAGTTTGAAAGCTCCCTTACAGGTCATCTAGTCCAACTCCCCTGCAGTGAACGGGAGCATCTACAGCAAGAACAGGTTGCTCAGAGCCCTGTCCAGCCTGACCTTGAGTGTCTCCAGACATGGGTGCATTCACATCTCTGGGGCAACCTGTTCCAGTGCCTCACTATTCTTACTGTGACAAACTTCTTTTTAGATAGCCAATCTAAATCTCCCTCTATTAGTCTGAAACCATTTCTCCTCATCTTGTCCTATCACAACAGACCCTGCTAAAGAGTCAGTCCCATTCCTTCTTACAGCTCCCCTTTCGATACTAAAAGGCCGCTACCAGGTCTTCTCAGAGCCTTGTCTTCTCCAGGTTGAACAGCCCCAGCTCCCTCAGTCTGTCCTCATAGGAGAGGTGTTCCATCCCTTGGGTCATTTGTGTGGCCCTCTTCTGGATGCACTCCAACAGGTCAGTGCCTTTCCTGTACTGAGGACTCCACATCTGGATGTAGCATTCCAAGTGAGGTCTCATGAGCACAGATCAGAGAGGCAGGAGCACCTCCCTCACCCTGTTGGCCATGCTTCTTTTGATGCAGACCATGCTTCTTTTGATGGTTCTCTTTTTTTTAATTTTTTAATAATTACATATTTTCTTTGATGCAGTCCTATGAACTCATATAAGCATTTGTTTTCCTATGAAGATGGAGAAACTAAAGCACAACAACACTAATTATCAATCTGCTGAGGGTAAATCTGAGGTAAAACTGAACCTAAACTTCAACTTGTAGTTTTTCATCTTGGCCACCAGATATCTTTCTGGTACCTTTAGTCCTTATGCAAAATCATGTTCGGTGTGGGTATCCTCACTGCATAGCAAATTTTCTGAGAAACACAGACTGATTTGGTCCTACTGGAGCAACCAACAAAAAATCCTTTATGCACACAGGTATAAATAATAAAATTTGTTCTTGTAGCTGACAGTATAGTGGAAATTTAATCCTCCGGATAACTTCATCATCTTTTACTATTAATTCAGTCACATATGTAACATATTTTTGTTATCAAGCAGATAAGTGTAGTGCTTCTACATTGTCAGACCAGTGCTGAACAATCACTGGTGTCTACTCCCATGCTTTTGCTCTGAGAAGCAGAGGCTTGAAATTCTGGCTCTGGAGTTTAAGTACTTGGGAACTAACTGCACTCATGCAATTATCTTTGTTAACAAAAATAGTGAAGATAATTATTTTTTGACAAGTCTAACACTTCCTGACAATGTATGCATAATAAGTGAATAGCTGACCTCAAGATACTTGATTTGCCCAAGGAAATGAATGATGCTCAGAAATCTGATTGTATAACTCTATCTTCCTACTCTATCTCCATTTTTTTTTAATTTAATTTAATTTTTTTTGTGTTTTTCTCTGCAACATACATACACAATAATAAATAAAGTTCTGACCTTTAAATAGTCACAAAAAAAAGGAATGCTTGCAGTAAAAATTGACAGTCAGAGGTATTTATCAAATTACCAGTAAATGTACTGTGAAAGAACTAGGGCTTAATGAATTATTTGCACTCCAAATCATGTGTTTTTTTCATATTATATTATTGTGCTGCATGCGTATATCTGTATTACAATAGAATTATTACTCTTCACATCATGTACCCTGATCTGAACTGCAAAGAAAAATCGATGTTCTTAGTGTGTAAGAAAGAAGCATTCTAACTGTCGATTTTTTAATGAGTATGTTTTAAGTAATAAGAGCATCTTCCCTGTAATAGGTGGAGGAAAGAATGAGATCTTAACATTTTTTTCTGTGTTATGGATATACAAGGCTTTTACAGCCATATGATCTGTGTTCTAAAGATCTCTTTCCATGGAAGATTAACAGTCAGATTAGTCCAGGTGTAGCTGAAGGGCGTCTTGGAGGATTTATTGCAAAATTAGGTGCTGTTCATTGAACAGTGAGGGAAAGTTGCCCAAGGTTTCTTCCTTTCTTTTTTTTCTTAATAGATACAATTGATGAGATTAAAGATATAATGAATAGAAAAATATTATGGTTTTGCTCACTGGACCTGTTTCCATATGATTAAATTCCCGTTTTTCATTCAGAAGTTCTCAGACTGGAATGACCAACTGACAAAAACAATTATTCTCAAAGTCATGCATGCTGACTTTGGAAACCTGTACTGAAGCCTTGTAAAATACCTTAATTTCTGTGTGATTCTGGATGAATATTTTGCCTTCACTGTTGTGTAGTCTCCTACTTCCAGTCCTTGTGGGGGGCAAGGGACAGGGCAGTGGGGAAGGGGTTTGCTGCCCCACAGCTGCTGGAGAAAAACAACATGGGATAGATGTGTGCAGGCAGCCTGGCAATCAGCCTTTCCCACTGCAGCTGGCCTCAACTCTCTTCCTCGACAGGTTCCAAAAATTTGGTGTTGCAGATGTATAGTACAAGGTAATTTGACCTTTTAGTGGGGTCATCTCCGTATTGTCTAGAGGGAGTGTTAGGGAATCACCTTCTCTATTCCCTGATTCATTCAATTCCAGAATCTTCTATGTGAGAAATAGTATTCTTCTTCAGTGCTTTTGTCAGTGCTTCAGAAAGCACAGCAGAAGAGCATTACTGCTGAGTTACTGCAGGCTAAATGTCTTCTCCATAATTTCAGACTTCTGCTGTGTAGAGGTACAGGATTAATTAGAGAATGGAGGGCTGCTTCAGTGTCATGTCTCTTTCCACTGCAAATTTAGCTAACTGCTTTGCACTTGCTGTTAGACAAGCCCTATTGTTAATTTTGTTCATCTTTTAATATAGATTGAAAAGGTGTTAAAAATAACTGGAATTCTTACTCAAATGTTTCTGAACCTGGGAATTTAACTGAGTCCATGGATGTTGGTGTATTAGAGTTGCAACTCAACGAAAAACAGTGGTTTTATTCTTCTATTATTTATTTAAGCTGGGAAAAATCCCAGTAAAATCCTTGTATGTCAAATGTCCTTCACTTTTCTTATCTTCTACACATTGAAAATGTCTGTTCAAATATGAAAGCTATTGCCTAGGTTTGACATTACCCTCTAAAAACCAAGCTGGTCACAAGGTTTTCCCTCAGCTACAGCTCAGTAATGCATTTTTAATTACTGTACAAGACTATATTACATTATTATTACTATATACATTATTATTATTACTATATTACATCAGATTTTTTGTTTGTTTTGTTTTGTTTAATGGAAGTCATGATTTACTCATAATCAAGTGAAAAGACACAGAAAGAGAGACAAAATATGTAACTAATTTCCAAGAGAGAGACAGTCTAGAAATTGGAAGAAAGTATGGTTACTGCCATGCAAATGCAGAAGATCTTACCTACAGTGATAACAACATGAAGGATGGGATACTTGCGACATGAGAAACGATTTTGAATTGCACGTGTACACTTGTGTGTGTGGAAAATTGTTCAGTGTCTCGCTGCTACATTCAGCATGCATCAAACTGAAAAGAAATATTTATTACATAGTTTTCTATCTACATGGATAAATGAAATATTAGAAGAAGATTATGTATCATTACTATAGAACAAATAAAGGGGATGTTCTGATGCTGAGTGTGAAGAGAAGCAGATAACACCTCAGGCAGTTTCTGTTTCAGTTTGAGGTGATTAATACTGAATCTTCTTTTGGATTGTACTAAACATTTCTGTTTAGCACCTGCCAAAGTACCTAACTTAAGCTGCTGCTCACACTGTATTACATTGAAAAACCGGGCAGAGAAGGAATCTTCAGATTTGCATAGATTATGCTCTTTTCCATGTTTTTCTGTGCTGATACCAGATGGAACCAAAAGAGCAAACTAACATACTATGAGAATAGTATTATTTCCCGTAGTCTCAGAGAAAACGTGGTTTGTGTTGTTCACTGTCACAAATCTAAGTGAATTGACTGTTCAGTGTCCTAGGGGAAAAAAATTGTCATACAA